TGAGACTTGGAGATGCTTTTAGGCACTCTAGCTAACAGGCTATTGGCATTATCAGATTATTCTCACCATATTTAGCTCCTTATGTTAAATCGCTGTTCAAAATGTTAATGGTACCCATTACAAAAAGCTATAGCAACTACTGTAGAAGACGTATTTGAAAGATTTGGTTCAGCACTAATGTAAAAATTATGACAAACATTTTTTGTGAAATGACATGAGAAAGAAAACAGACCAACGAACAGATGTCATCTGTCTAGGCTCCAAATGTCTTGTATCTCTCTTGGAATCAGAGTATACAGCTTAACCATCAGTGTAAACCCCTTTTAATGTTATTCATATTCTTTAATTTATAATTATTTATGGTTGGATATCTATATCTATATGTAGTGCACTGTTGCCTTGTCTGTGTGGGTGCCTGGTCTAAAATAGGGTTGGCTGGGGAAAATGGGGTCAAGAATGAGGGCCATCTCTAGCGACGCAACCGACAGAAAGAGGACACAGTGTCTGCAACCCAAGAACCACAGTTTAAATTATAAAACAGAGAGTAATGGATCTGTGCAAGGCATAGGAGTCTTCTGAAGAAGTATCTGTTACAAGGCAGAAGGGCAGTTTATTTTTCTGGCATTTGTATGGGATTCTTTTAATAGATATTTAGCAACTCCACTACGTCCATTACCTATTGAACAGGACGAAGTTCTTGCACCACATGCCCCTTTACCTTAGGTGCCCTAAATCTAACACAACTAGCAAGACAAACCACAGCTCAGCTGATGAGAGGTCAGGCTATTCTCAGTCTGTGTCTGTCTGTAAATGTGTTATGGGTTAGTACCCTTAAACGCCTTTGTGACCTATATCTGAACCAGACATAAACTTTACATATTATGGTTGACCGTTCCTTCTACTGCTATCTTTTCTTCTTCCTTCGATGACACAACAGACTCACGTCATGGTCAAATCTATCTGGATTTATCAGTTAGTGGAGATGGGCTTTTGACCTTTCAACTAAAATTATCTGCCTCCAGATTAGCAGTGTTATTTTTTGTCGTAACAACCCTTCTGCTCACGGATATGGAGTTCCTTGTGTGTGCATAAGGGGCATGTATAGGCGCTGGGTTTCTGTTTATATAATGTAAAGGAGCAATACCTTAAGTTAACTTTTTGTTTGAGAATTTAGTGATATTTATTTGGTGCAGCAGAGCAAATTGCATCAACTTAATATCTTCTTCTTTTCATTCCTCTCTGACAGCTGGTACCACCCGAGAGCATCTTGGTCTTGCCATGGCCCTGAAGGTTCCCATCTTCATTGTGATAAGTAAGGTGGACCTCTGCACTCGGGCCACAGTTGAGCGCACAGTGCGGCAGTTGGAGCGTGTCCTGAAGCAGCCGGGCTGCAACAAGGTGCCCATGGTCGTAAGCAGCACAGATGATGCTGTCACGGCAGCACAGCAGTTTGCCCAGTCACCAAGGTACAAGACAACTGAATGTCCATGTGAAAACATGCAATATAAAAAAATCTGCATTTGACTTAAGAGACCCTTTTTATAAATATGTTTCCTGATTGCGTGATTTTGCCCTCCCTGCAGCATCACACCCATCTTCACCTTGTCCAGTGTGTCTGGAGAGAGTCTAGACTTGCTCAAGGTCTTCTTCAACATCATCCCTCCTCTCAGCAACAGCAAGGAGCAGGAGGAGCTAATGCAACAGCTAACTGAGTTTCAGGTCAGTGATGAGCTGACGCACACTTTCAGATGCAGTATATAGTATACACCTAACATTTGTTGATTTTGAAGTGCTTGAAGGTAATGTGAATCATTACAGGTGGATGAGATCTACACAGTCCCAGAGGTGGGGACAGTGGTGGGAGGTACTCTGTACAGGTCAGTGTGATTAAATCCTCACTTCATCCTCTTCTATTGAACTTCATTCAGTTTTGGTTTGGTGTACACTCTCTCATATCTATTTGATCGTGCAGTGGGATTTGCCGTGAGGGAGATGATCTGGTGGTTGGGCCCACAGACTCCGGCCAGTTTCACAAGTTAACCGTCGGAAGCATCCAAAGAAACCGCTCTGGATGCAGGGTACTCAGAGCTGGCCAGGCTGCCACACTCGCCCTAGGCAACTTTGACCGGTCGCTACTACGCAAGGTCAGACACTTATATGTGAAACTCTTATCATTGTCTCTTAATTGTTTGCCTCAGTATTTAACTTGAGTCTGTCATTCTTGATTTTGGGGAGGATAGAAGTATTTATGACGTACAGAAACTCAAATTTTCTCATAGGAAACCTTAAAAACTCCAGCAAATGTGAGAGAAACTAACTAGTACACATGTTGTATTATTCTTTGTTGGTTATTTTATAGAGATTCTGTGAATGGCTTCAATAAAACACTTCTTATTCATCGTTTTAAGCAGATGTTTACAAGTCTTATTTACAGTTTTTACAGTGAATTCTAATCTATGCCAATGTTTTGGGATTTTTCACTCACAGGGCATGGTGATGGTGAGTCCGGAGATGGATCCTACAATCTGCTGGATGTTTGAGGCTGAGATTGTGTTGCTCTTTCATGCCAAGACCTTCCACAAGGGCTTTCAGGTTACTGTGCACATAGGCAATGTGAGACAGACTGCCACTGTGGAAGCTGTGTATGGCAAGGTTAGTAAATCTACTTAGCTAACTCATTCTCTATCTGAAAGTTATTCTCCACTTTTAAATCCTGGGTTTCTTCCTATTCCAATGCGTGGCCTCACACTCTTTCCTTTTGTCTTATGATACATTCATGTACTGCAGGAGGAGCTGAGAACTGGGGAGAAAGCAGTGGTTCTCTTCAAGTTCATCAAACACCCAGAATACCTGAAGGTAGGAGCGAAGGTGCTTTTCAGACAGGGTGTGACCAAAGGTATCGGCCATGTCACCAAGTTGCAACCAATCGCCCAGTACCTACCATCACAAAGCGAGGACGAGGAAGCCTGAAATTTGTCAAAGAACCACAACAGAAAACACCATCCCTCCAATAAATAAGGGTGCTTTACTTAACCTCCTGCTTTCTCCAAAGAACACCCTCATCCCTGCACAGTAAAACCCTCTAAGAGGATTTTGTTGTTTTACTACCCTTTTCCAAGGCCTTGTTACCACCCTTGTCCCCCCTTTTTTTTTTTTTTTTACTCTTAGGCATTTTAAAAACCGCTGTTACTCAAGTCTGTTTTCTGGCTTTGGATTTTAAAGTGTTGCTTTAAATGGCACTGTTAAGAGTAAACCTCTTAGCCCCCTACTCATCATATTCACAATGCAACATCTACTAAAGTTATCCATCAACTGTCAAAAACACATTGTTGCAATGCATGCATTAGTAAGTGGTAACTAGGAAATTGCTTTCTCACCTAGTGCTACTTACACCTGAATGCACTCCTAACACGTTTAAAAATGGATGCACACACAGACTTGCACTAAACATAAAAGCCAGTGTTGATATACCTTTGGCAGGAAATCGTTTACAACAGTTGCAGATATGACACACTTGAACATGAGAGTGTAACATGTATCAAAAACATCACTACTTTCATAGCGACGCAACAACTTGTTACCAACACAGTGCCTGAGCTCAGTTGTCTTGTATTAAACCAACTCTCTGAAAACAACTAATGGAGAACGTGAAAAACTGTAAAAGTAATGAGATACTGTTGTGGTTCTCAGACAGTTTGTTAGTTGAATTTAAGCCAGATCATGTTTAAGCTATTATGCTGATAGGGCACTTTGGAAAATGTAAAGGAGAGCATTACAAAGTATGCAAAGCTAGACTCAACCTGCCAAGATATATCACATTTTAACTGGTTTTATGTCATAAAGTTTGTGAGGAATTATCTTCTTTAGTTACAAATGATGCCTCATGATAGTGTAGTGAAATTGCTATCTATCTTTCAAGTGCTTTAGTTACTCAGGTCCATGTAGATAATGGTGATAGACAGCATTCCTCTCTCACATGACTCCTCCTATGGAGGTTTCTATTCAAACTGGGTGTTCCTCCCAAAGCGACATTCAGCGACAGTGTTTCAAAGCAATTTTGTCGGAGGAGCTTGATGTCGTCGCCTCACTTATGTTACTGATGTCACTAACTTTGAAGAGGTTTAACACAGTGCCTAGTGGAACTACTTTTTATGTAGCTTTCCATTACAACCCAAAGTTTTACAACCTTAATTATGTTGGTGCTACTCTGTAAAACATTTTGTTGATATGACATGCTACTGTCTGTTTGAGGCTGGTTTTGGCCTCATTGTCTTATTATAGCATGTTGGTGTGATTTATAGAAGTTGATGTCCCACTGACAGAAGTGATAGAAAAGACAACAGCAATGTGTGCCCTGTTTTGTTGCACCCACGTTGATATGCACAGTTTGTGTGTATTAAGTCAAAGAGAGAAAAACTAAGAATGCAATTCAACCAAATCATTTTCTATTCTTTATGAAGTCTTTATCAGGTGTTTGTTTTAATACACCTAAGAATATTTTATAGATTTGTAGTTGCAGATTTTACTATTCATTTTAACACAGTTTTCACTGACAGCCTTCTTTATTACACCAACTCTTGTTCACTGTTTTGAAATCACCTTTCAGATATTTTTGCCTTTTAATAGAATATGTAATATGTTAATTGTTTGGGTGAAATGCAATATTTATGTACAGATCCAATTTGTCTGTCTTGGTGTACATGAATAAAACTTTGTCTCTTTAGCAGGTGTAATTTGTTGTCCTTCAGGTGAAACAAAACTTGCTAGAAGTTTTCATTGATGTCATCATACAGCCAGTGTTTAGGGTTAGGTTTGGTGAGGGGCGCAGCATTCTGTGGAACGCTACAAAAGCACAGGCACTCCGGGGACAATGGGTATTAAAATTACTTTAAAAGGGTTTTAAGGCAGGGTTAGGGTTACATGTAAAATAGTCATGAATCGCTTCTCAAAAAAGGAGCTTTAAAAGGTTTAATTTCCAAGCTGACGTAAGACGAGGCAAGAATAATTGACTCATTCTGAGCAATGGGTTTATTGTAGTAGGAAAAAAAGACATTTAAGCTTTTAACTGTGCAATTGTTCTCTTACAGCTGGTAATCAGTATTAAAAAATAAATGCTTATCGTCTTTTAAAGTCAAATATTTTCTGTAACTCATTTACACAGCAAGACTTGATGCAATTCAAATGAAGTTCCAGCTCTTTATTCCACTCATTACTGCCATCTGCTGGCAAGTAGGAAACTAGGAATTGCAACAAAAATGAAAAGGATCCATCATAAACCCTGGTGTCAAAAATATCACTAAAAGCATAAACTTTCTCTCAGTACATCAACATGTCTTAAAGTACAAGGGACAATAACATTGATTATTTAAAATTAGTTTTATGTTGCACATCCCTGTCATTATGGCGTTCCATTCTCTGAGCAAATGCACAAAACCAAACATAAAAACTGTTAATGATATATATGCATCTTTAAAAATGTTAATTGTATTTTGTTTAAAAAAAATCAGTGCTGCAACACAAATTCAGTTCCTTTTGAAAAATGAATCCAGAGTTCCCGCACTTCCACCTTGGGACTTCTGTCGCTTTGGTTGTGGTCCGGACTTGCCTCTGCTCTTTGTCTTTCCCCGGGAGGACTGAGCTGTGCCTGCTGTTCCAACTCTGAGAGGAGTTTCAGAGACATTGGAAGAGGAAGAGTTGGTTGTCGGTCCTGAGGATGAGGAAAGGGAATTCTGCAGGTCCAGGGCAAAGTGATAGTCATGGTGTTCAGGCATTTCCCAGACCAGCACCTCTTTGCCACAGCGTTCACAGGTTAACAGGTCTTCTGTGGCCACATTGGGAGGATGGTTAATTAATTCTTGATCAATCTCCTCTTCATCTTTAACATTTTCAAACGGGGACTGATGGGATGCAAACACAGTTTGTTGTCCATGTTGTTCTGACTCAACAGCATCAATATCTTCAGTGTCTTCTTTATTAACAGGCGTATTACATGTTAAAACTGAAGTCTGTACATTTCTTTCAAGACTTTTCTTCTGGAAGAAAGAGGAAATGCCAGAATTAGGGCTTGGTGATCCATTTTTAGAGTTAGAGTGGAGGGTAAGAGAAGGGACAGGGCATCTGGTATTCGTCTCCAGCTGAGTATCAGTAGCAGAGGTTTTATGAGAAGGTGGTTGGGTAATCCTGCAGTCCTTATCTTCATCCTCCTCTTCAAGATCTATGGTAACCCTCTGTCTTTGATTCTCCTTTACGTTCTGAAAGAAGGACTGGATGGAGCTGGGATTTTTGCATGCAGGGTCGTTTTTCTGTTGAGATGGTGTCTGGGTGGAGGACTGAGTGTTGGAGAGAAAGCCTGCAATGCCCCCTGCTGATGGAGCATCGCTGAATTTGCTTGCAGAAAGATGGAGCAGGGTGAGGGGTGGAGTCCTGGGGAAACAAGGAAAAGAAAAAAAATCACACCAGATCTCTCCAACCGATCATTCTAAATATCTTACTGTAGCATGATATTCTTATTACCATGCTGCCTGGTGGTTCCCTGCTGTGTTGAGGCTCTTGATAATAGCAAAGCTGTCAGTGGATAATTTGGTGGCTTCGTAGCGCACTAAAGCACAACATCGAGAGAAGCTGCTCGGCCTCTTATCACCAAGCTGACGCACACCAACCGTCAACAACTTGGCCACACGACCATTCTGTACAGCGGTTAAACAAATGACAGGAAACACGGTTATATTCAGTGTATAAAAATTTGCCTGGGAACGAAGCAAGTATGAGGAAGTAGGTTTTACCGCCATAAATAAGTAACACAACCACACAGGTTCTTTTTCTCACCACATCTTTGTCCTTAGTCAGCCGCTCCTCCAGCTCAAGCGCCAGTTGACGTAGCCAGTACTGTACCTACACAATTTATTATTATCAGCTGACATCAAGACTTTATGAAATTATACTTCATATGTGTTAAAAACTATTCAACATGTGTCTAATGGCATGGACTAACCAACCTCTCTCAAAGTTTCAGTCAATGAGACTTAAAGAGATTGGACCTTAACTTTATACCTTGATGTAAGAGAAGAGGAAAAGAGTGATGTTTAGGTACCTGCTCCTTTGTAGACAGCGATGTCTTCCCAGGGAAGTTTTTACTGCAGCCGATGGACTTAGGAAGCTGTCTCGGTTTCACCGCTTCAAAGTCAATCCCCCGGCACAAATCGTACAGCCACTGACTGCAGAGAAACGTTTTTGTGGTTGATTATCGAGTATAGATAAAATGCTTGGACGTCATATTTTTTCACATAAGTCCTCTAAGGTTTAAGATAAACACTTTTCCCTCTTGTGTGTTTTTAATCATACACTTTTGTTACCATGTATGTCATGACAAGGAAAGTGTGAGTTAAGACAAACTCAAGAAGCAGTGTACTGACTTTTTTTTGTAAATTAACATTAAAATAATGATTGTGTCATTGTGTATCTGGCCTGTCTTACCCTGTCTTTTCTCCAAAGTGTTGTCCCAGTTGGGCCTGAGAGAAGCCGGTAAGATCTCCAATGTTCTTTACTCCCAGAGTTTCTGTAATGGAGGTTCCCAGTTTACCCCCCAGGTTGCGTCTAAACAGGAGAGAAAAAAAAACAAACAATGCAAGAGTGCAGTATATTATTGGTCTGAATTTGTTTTTATATCAGTATGAGTGTTATTTCTGAAGAGATATTTCTTAACGGTGGAGTAGTGCTTTTTACTCACATCTTGCCGATTGGTAGAGAGTTGAAAAGTTCTGTCACAGAGTCCAAAGGTATAACAGTTTGCCGGTTTGGTTTGTTCAGACCACATGCTAATTTTGCCAATACCTGGGGGGAAAAGTACACATTCAACTATGACTTTAACAAAGAAACATATTGCTTTAAAGTATTGCTCCCTCCTAACTGTTTGAATGAGACAAAAGAGAGAGGTTTTCTTACCTTATTGTGCGATATCCCGGCTGAACATCTGAAGCCTGTAACTTTCTCCACGGCGGCCCTCATTTCCTCCACAACGAGTGCACCCACAGTTAGCTGCAGATCTGCAGAGCTCTGCTCTCCAAGCAGGGAGACAGATGAGGATGCCAGCCACTGCAGGAGACCTCTAGACCTTTGCTCCTCTAAAAAAAAAAAAAAAAAAAAGGTTCAAACTGTACCTGAGTATTGTGGCTTTGTTAGGTGTCCCTTTTAACAACAGCCTTTTGTATCCAGTATGAACAAAATAAATACAGACTGTTGGCCTACCTTTATCGCAGGCAGCATCTTCTACAGATGCTTCCTGTTCTGGTAGGCTTTGTGGGTAACCCTGAACGTAGGTTGCCTTCAGCAGTTGAGGATCAATTTGTTTGTCGGTCATTGCTTTCAGCCGCTGCTGTACGGTAGCAGTCAGATCCATGTAGGCCTCATCGATGCTGGCCCGCTCAACCACAGCGAAGCGAGACATCACCTCAATCACCTCCACACTAGCCTCTCTGTAACTACAAGAGTGAGAAGGTTGTTTTCTTCACAACTGCTCACAGACGTGGAAGGATGGAAAAATGTGCAGTTACTGGTTGATTCTACAATCCATTTGTAGAATTGTAGAATAAAACAGTTTTATGGCATAGAAACGTTATACAGTTAATCACAAGGACTTACTGGGTCAGGTCTGCTTTGCCATGGGACTCACGCACTCGTGCCACTTGGAGATCTGGGCACAGTTTCTTTGCATCGTCCACCCACATGTTTCTAGTGACACCATGGGCCCTGGCCTCGTAACTCACAGCTATGATACTAACACAGATGATGATATTAAGTTCAGAACCACATTGAAGAGTTGTGTTTACAAACCATGAAAACTTGTTAAACCAAGTGGAGTTGGTGATTATATTTGGGGAATAAAGGCGGGTAAGTTGCCAACACAGAGACAGGTATTTAAATGATCAATGCAACTGAGCATACACAATCTGGCTGGATAACAGCACTGAGTAAAAGTAGACACCTTCTGACCCTGAAGAGACTTTGGGATTTACTGAGTGATGTGATCCAGATCCTTCTTTGCGTGGCAGTCTTGTCAGATTGCATTGATCACAAAAACAAAAAAAAGACTTCTCTGTGTCAGAAACTCACCTGCCTCCTTTCCACGTCTTGTACTGAGCCACCACACAGGGAGTATTCCTCAGGGCTGGGTCGATCCTCTGCTCCACCTGAACGTAAAAGCAGTCCATGTCCACTAACGCCACCACCCTCTCCTTTCCGTGCTCCATTACACAAGAGGAGACCAAATCAGCGAGAGTGAAACACACAAACAGGTCGGTGTTCTCACCCCCGCTAGTTTATCCCACAGACTGTAACAATGTATCCGTTTATCCGGACAGATGCCTCTAATTCCCGTCGCTTTGTATTTCGCGCAGTTGTCAAAAGTTACATAAATACGTCATCAGTAGTCCGCGTGGACCACAAAGGCGGCCATCATGGTGAGGACTTTATAACTACAGGAGCCCAGACATTTAAAAAGTAATCAGCAACCGACCAGCGTATGGACTGTAAACGGGACGTTTTAACTCCAGGCTGGTGAATAAGAAGTTCAAAACTCGATATTTGACTTTACTATTCTGTGTAATGCTGCTGTCACGGTTGTCCTATATGCAAAACGTCAAACGCGATGAGTTTGGCGGGAAAACATCGCCATCTACTGGCTAAGTAAAAAATGAAGATACAAATGAATGCTGCTGTCTAATATTTACATCAGCAAGCTTTATATTTGTCATCATGCTGGAGAACAGTAGGTAAGAAATTGATAAATTAGAGTATGTTTGCCCTAGGGCAGGATTATCAATTGTAAAAAAAATCATTCCTTCCAAGCAAGGCTGCCCATAAGGGGGGGCAAAGTTTTGGGGGGTTAGGAAAGACACGATCCATCCCAAATTGAAGCAATAATGAGCACATTTTATGTTAAACCTAAAAAGTCTCCATTACTTAGTAAAACACAAAATGTGCATCATATTAACTGTTTCCAGTTTTGAAATGTAAACCCTCTCTTCTGAAACTGGTATGAGCGTTTTGTTTTTTTGGTAGTTTTGTTATACTGAAGGGCCTGTAATGGCAATTTTCTTTTCTTTTTTCCTTTGCTCCAATTATTGCCATTAATACACAGGTAGGGGTGAAGTCTTACGCAGATGCAAACAATGATTTTCCAGCCGTTATTAAAGTTGAGTTGAAGGTTTATTGAAGTGACTTGATGGGGATATGAGAACAAAAAAAACATACCATTTCCAGTGAAGCGTAGCCAGTAGAATGAATGAATTGTAGTTTGTCTGAGTGCTGGTCTGAAACATGAATGACGGTCTGGTGAGAACTGTCTGTGCTCCCCTCTCCTGTCACATGTGCCACACGCCCCTGTGCATTCAGTGTCCCTAGTGAAAAATAATATATTCAGATAAATCTAATTATACAACATGCCAACGATAAACATAAAATGGCTCCTGCAGGGCCTATTGAACTTAAATGTAAGGCCAGCAAAGTTGGACTCTGTAAAGCCATCCCAGGACCTGCAACAAACTTTTTTTTCACTCAGCTCCAACAGCTGAATGGAGACAGGCCCAGGAGGCAAATATTAGCCAGGAGGTTAGCACTAGTGCTACTGAACCAACATGCATTGATAGGTTATTCATAAATATATTTTGGGGAGGGCACTTTTACTTGGCATTTTAGGGGCCCAGGCATTTCTGTTAGCAGGCCTGCTTGTAATAAAAACATTTTTTTAAAAAGCATATCATGGACTAAGTCGGCCTATATTAGATTATTTTGTGTTGTCTGTTTAAAACTCAAACTTTTGTTGAACTCATTGCTGTGACATTAAAGTCAAATTCTTTTATTTTTAGTTTATTTTACAGCTTTATTATTTATTTATGAATAACGATTGGTCTTCCAAAACAAACTGTACACATTTTATAGATAACTACATTCATTTTAAAGCTTATTTTCTTCTGCAGAACTGGTTCAGTTTAACTTTGAAGATCAGTTTTCAAAATGTTCAACTGAGAAAGGAAGTACAAAAAACAAAATAGGGGAAATGCACTTTTGATCATCTTGCATCATAGCCAGACGATCTACACCACAGGAAAAGGTGAAGAACGCTCAAATCTCTCATTTTTCTGGAAACACGGCTTCAGACATGACTTCTCCATTTTCCCCTTACCTGATACTCACTGCGCTCTTAGGTAAGTCATAACTTGGGCTAAATGAGAATGTTGTGCAGAAATTATAAAGAAACTTGTGTAATATATTTGGAGTCTTGAGTCTTTGAGTCGATAAATATGTGTTAAATTAATTCAATGCTAAGTCTTGATATTTGTAACAGATGTAAGCAAATAGCTAAATACACAATGTATGTGAAAGCACCTCTTAAAATGAGCATCTGCTATTGTTTTCTCAGGATTTCACTGTGAAATCATTACAGTGAGTAAGGTGTCAGTTAAAGCCAGAGGCTCCATCTCCATCCCATGCCTCTATGAGCCGCCTTACAGAAACCATGTGAAATACTTGTGTAGAGGACATTCCTGGCTGCTCTGCTCAAATGAAGTGAAAACAAACCAGACAGAAGCTACATGGAAATATTCTATCTCTGATGACACAAGCCAAAGAATCTTCACTGTGACTATTAACGATCTGGAAGATTACACAGATGACACTTGTTACTGGTGTGCTGTTCAACTTAAAAGGAAGAAAGATGACGGCAAAAGATTTCAGCTGTCCATCACGAAAGGTAAGTTCCCTTGAAATCCTCCTAAGAAGCATATCAGTGGGGAAATATGTTTCAGATAAGCAACAACATGTTACACAACCAAACTATGCATTTTTTATTTTGTGCTTTTTTTTTTTTTTAAGATATGCCAAGTCTGTATGTGGACCATCAGAAAATAACAGCATTCGAAAGAGGAAGTGTGACTGTTATGTGCCGCTATAAATATCTAAAAGTAACAGAGTGGTGCCGGCTTGGAAGCACCTGTGTGACAGAACAGACTGGATCAATAGGTGGAACAACAGTGACCATCAATGAAACTGTCCCGAATGTTTACAATGTGACTATGAGTGGACTGACGACAGCATGCAGCGGCTGGTATTGGTGCACCAATGGAGACTTTCAGATCCCAGTGCATATAATGGTTCACAAATTAGCCTCAACAACAACTGAGAAAATTACAGTGAACACCAAAACAGCAAGTATGAAACAAAACCAATTGTCAAGCTGTTACAATAATGAGGCCATATATAGTGACACACCAAAGGTTAGACAGATAGCACAATAAACTATCGTGTGATAATTCCTGCAGTGAAAAACATTTTCATGACAACAACCAAACAGTTTCACATGTCATATATTATCAAAACATGTATTTAATCTACACAATGGATCTTCATGATATTTGTACGCCAACCACACAGGGACACGCCGAACATCTACGCAGCCTTCTTTCAAGCCAAAAACAACTTTGCCCAAAAACTCCATCAAAAGCCCGGAAGGTGGAGAGAGCCTGCAAGATGAACTGGAGAGGTAAGTTCAATTCTGTTTTACATATCTTCTGCATATCATTCCTTCTACACTCTTTGCCTTTAACGATACAGCACTGCTGTTTCTATAAACTCTGTAAAATCCTTTTAAAAACAACTAAATATTTAAACATGGGATTCTGTTTTCTTCTTTTTTTCATCATTAATCTCTGTAAAGCACAGATTGTACTTTTAAAAGTTAATGTAACAAAGTTGAACTGTGCTAAATCCTGAGTTGTAGTTTGATAAGTTAAACTTAAAAAAAGAATAGTGTATGTAAAGGAGAATATTCCCATTATCAAGCTCATTATTGTAAATTCAATGACCCTCTGATTTGCATTTATCTTGCAGCTCCACTACGGTTATGATCGTCGTTGCCCTCGTCTTACTGCTCTTGTTAGTTGCTGCAGCCTTTTTTGTATGGTGGAGGATAAGACATAGTGAGTCAGTTGCAAACTCTACTGCTGAAAAATCTCAGGATTTAAGATATCTGTTTTATTAACATATATTTTTCAAATTGAATATTTCTTAGAAACAACCCAGCCTGGGGCGTCAGACACCACGATGGTAAGATATAACATAATAATAAGAGATACTATGTTTGGTGATCGTCTTCATCCCTGCTATATAACAAATAAAACTGCCTGTCAGCATCATGGCCAACAAATTAGTTAATGTAGTGTGAATTAACACTAAATTAACTTAGTGTTAGTCTTTGACTATATATGAGCAGGTCTATATTGACTCGCTACAAAGGAACATAACCTGCGCAAGCTCATCTCAATTAAACACGATGGGAATCTAACTAAAACACTCTTAATATTTAAGGGAGCCGTTTTAGAGAGATACTTTTTATTCACTTAAACTGCTACTCTACATAAGATACCGTGGTTGAGTGACTAGTCCACTTACAGTATATTACAGTAGAAAAAACAGGTGTGACATTAGACAGTTAAAATGGTGAGTAATTGTGGAATAATGTGTTATATTAAAATGATTGTCAAATTTCAAATTCATCCATCACAGGGCTCAGACACCGCAAGTGATCCTGATCTGCTCTATTCCACCATCTGTCATAATAAACGTAAAGCAGCCCACATGAAGGTAAAACAGTAAAGACAGTAAACAGTAAAGAAGTGCTGTTTATTTCTGAACAGGAAAGGAGAACATGATCTGAACAGAATTGAACACATTTGCTCCTAATATGTCTTAGTTTTCCCCCGAATATTGTATTTATTTGACTGAATTTCATCTAGCAGAATCGTAGACCTGAAGACAGCATGACATACAGTACCATTGTGTTGAAGGATTGTGTTCAACAAGAGGTATGTGATTAACTTAAACCCTTATAGGCATCTTTAAAAATAACAACATTCTGTAAATAGCAAATACAAATTAGTAATATTTTAGTCAATAACTATTCAGCATCTTTTTCTTTGTACGTCCTTTTTCTCAGATTCAACCAACAGATGGAAGTGTGATCTACAGCACAGTGAAAACTAGAAAGAAATAACATCTGTAAATGAGCTGAGGAGATTATAGCAGCGCTTATGGAGTCCTTCGCTGGGACTCTGCAAAGCTGTAAAATAAATGCTTGCTATTAACCAGGTTGAGCAAGACATCAACACATGGGGCCACAAGCTGGGTCAGTTTGTGTTTATATATAATTTATATATATATATATATATATGTATAAACTGCATTTATTAAAGTAAGTCTACTTTATGTGGTTTGTGGTTTCTTCTTTCAACACGACTGTCTGACTGGTGTACATGACATATTCTATTTTCTTATATACTCTATGTACTTATTTTTGGTAGTGGTAACAAAGTTGAAGGTCTTCTGACATAGGGTTTGCTATTTCAATGTAACCAAGAACTGCTGACATATTTAGAAGCTATTTTCCAATATTCAAGTCATGATGCAGTCCCTCTGCAGAAAGTTACACGATGCAGATGAGAAACCCTCTAAAATCATCATCTGTATTAAACGACAATAGAACCATAAAAAAAAACACAGAAGCAATTATTTCACAGCTTGAAGAACAAGCTTGTTGCATTTTTATGAGTGAGATTATGATATAAATAAGAAGAGACAGGGAATGTCTAAGACCTGTAAGGGCTGTAAAGATTTAATCAGCATTGTGTTCAAACCAGAGGCTTTTACTGACCCGTATTTGTGAAACCACACTGCTGAAGAAGCACATTCAGCTGATGTGTAAGTCCTTGCTCGTACACAGGTTGTGAACTTGACATCTCAAATTGGACTGTTATTCAAATATTGGAAGCAAGGCTACCAAGAACTTGAAAATGATTTTTGTGTGACGTGCTTCTTCAAATACAGCATACTCAACATTTTGAGTTTCTCACATGGTCACTCTGTCACTTTAGGAAAGTCTGGTTGTTTCTATACAACAGTGTAAATGATAATGTATGAATGGGCTCAATGTTCTGAACAACTAATTCAACATTGTTCTGATCATCAATTCAATGAGAAAAAAACCTCAGATATAGTTTGAAATGTAGCTTTATTGCAAAGAAGGTATTAAAAATTAAACATTTGAGTCGATACATCTGGAGTGCTGATCCTTTTCTTTTGAGCTTTTGCAGTGAATTGATTTACGGCTAGTCTGCAGTAAACTCTGTAAAATACCAAAGATAGATTATTTTGCATAAATATTTGTACACATCATCTAACCACTGAAGGCTACTTCCTTTCAGCAGGGGGAGGACAGATTTAAACTTTTGCATTTGTATAACAAAGAATATCAGGAAGTAGGACCAGAGTCTTGCAGTGCACTGGTTCATGTAGTTTATTCTGCTCCCTCAGCGACATGGCTTTTCAAATTAGCTTCCTTTTTATCCTCGCTGGACTAACAGGTAAAAGAAGATCATGATAATTGCAATGTAATGTCAGTTAGACAAGAAATATTGTACATACCTGTGATATTGTATTATTGTGAAACCTCAGCTAATATGAAATTTGAAAATAGACAGGAAGATCATTTTAAGTGACTTTATGCATGACACTGTATCACATGCTTTGTTGCAGGAATTGACAGCATATCAACAGTCAGTGTAGTATCAGTAAAAGCTGGAGATTCAATTTCCATCCCATGTCTGTATGGAGCACAATACAAAAACCATGTGAAATATCTGTGTGAAGGATACAGATGGGACACCTGCTCATCTAAAGTGACAACAAACAAACCCAATTCAAACAAGTTTTCGATCTTTGATGACAAAAAGCAAAGAACCTTCACAGTGACTATCAAAGATGTGACTGGTTCTGACCTTCATTACTGGTGTGCTGTGGAGATACGCAAAGGGCCAGATGTTGGAAAGTATTTTGAACTGTCAGTCACTAAAGGTAAGCACACCTGTATCATCTTTATGCCAATTTCCAATCCTTTGTGAAATATTAATTAGAAGTAAACACACTAAAGGAGGTTTCATGGTTTCTGCAAATACTATTTTACCAGGTTTAATATTGGATTTTTTAAATATATATATTATTTTATCTATATAGCATTTTCTTATCCAGATTCATACCATGGAGATCAGAGATCACGTTTACAAGGGAGAGCTGGCCACAAATGGCAACAACACACATTGTCAACTATAATCAAACTCACGCAAACGATTTCTTTGTCAGTCATAAAGCAGTTAAAGAGTTAAGAAAACGTTTAATCCAGCAGCTTTTGTATACTGCTGCAGCACCTGAATTTCCCCACTGGGGATCAATTAAAGATTATCTTATCTTATAAAATATAATTCAAATGTCTGTGAAGGTTCTCAGTCATCCAGGTCATGGATAATTCAAAGTTTGATCCAAAGGCAACTGGACTTGGTTGAAGATCTTCAACCAGTCCAGTTGCCGTGAATCAATACAATTTAAACATTGACAGCATCCAATGGTATCCAAAATATTTTAATAAAAAAATGTTTTTTTCTTTAGATACACCCAGTCTCTATGTGGATCACCAAGAGTTAAGAGTCTTTGAAGGAGATCCCATCGAGATCAACTGTCACCATAGTATCCCCGGGAGAAATGAGTGGTGCCGCCTTGATGGGTCCTGTGTGACAAATTCAGCTGGATTGCTCAATGGAGCGATTGTGACCATCATTGCGAGGTCCAGTGAATATTTCACTGTGACTATGAGTGGACTAAGGACAGAGAGCAGCGGCTGGTATGTGTGTGTCAAAGGAGACTTTACGATGCCAGTGCATATAACTGTCACTGAGCAACCTCTTATCAGTGAGTACTATAAAGAATTCAAATGTATAAATATACAAATTGTTAATACATGTGATCAAATCTATTAGCAAAAGCTTCTTTTTGATTTAGAAAAAGATACTATATCATCTGTACACTTGCAGTCATTGTCTTATCTTAAATGATTTATTTGGGGTGCCAGTAGCCTAGTGGTTTGTGTGAGACGCCCCATGTACAGAGGCAAGGGTCCTCCAAGCAGACAGCCCAAGTTCGAATCTGACCTGGGGATCCTTTCATGCGTTTCGTTCCCCAATCTCTCCCCAGTTTCTGACTCTGTCCACTGTCCTATCTCTTAAAAAAAAGCTTGTTGTTGAAATTGCTTAACAACCTTATCATCCACATTCTTTCAGTTTCTACTTTGGGAAACCCAGCAACTACCACAGTTGACCACAGGTGAGAATTCTTAGCAATTGAATGCATCTGCAGTTTTTAACTGGTTAAACTAGTCTCGGTTTTCATTTATTCTTTTGCATGCTTTGCTTTAAATGTGTGATTCTCCAGTGCTGGTCCAGAGAAGTTCCTCATCCCTTTGAGCTTGTTGATCCCCCTTGCGATAGCAACTTTGATCACCTGGTTCCTGTTAAAAAGACATAGTAAGTGGATTCTGAACTTTGATGAATGCAATGTATACCAAAGCTGTTTTATCATCAAATTCTTACTTCACATGAAAATTGTGTAGCATTGCCATTGAGTACCTAAAAGGTTTTTTTTGTTTATTGTTTCAACTTTAGAGAACACCAGAGCAGAATCTTCAGCAACAACGGTAAAACGTGAAGATTCAATAAAAAGGACATCATGGTCTTGTTCTTCACTTTACAGAACACCGATACAAAGCAAAACAACCATTTGTTAAAGTTTGATTAATAACATCATCTTTGAGTATTTTAGTTGTAAATTACAGTAAGCATTTGAGCATTGTGAAATCACGTATAACAACACAAATATACCAATGTGGTTATCAGTCTACACTTCTTGTTTTTAAATTCATTATTTTTTTGTCTGCTCACTTCTGGTTTGACACAGACTGCAGCGGAAGTAACATACAGTACTGTAACCATGAGGAGTAAACCTTCAAGCCAGGTAAGGGACTGTGTGAAAATTACTTGCCTAAACCTTTTTGTTACATTATTAACAGATCCTTTAAAGATATATTAAAATTGTATTTTGACCTCTGATTTTGACCTGTTATACTAGACTTCTAGTGTGCAGTTCCAAACATTTTAAACGACAGTCAACTCCTATGATAATGGATAGTCTTCTTTTATTTTGGTTGCCTCAAAATATCCTCTATTTAAGTAACATTTGGTTTATTCCTTCATCAGGCTCAAGAGGAAATAACAAACAGTTATTTCAAGCATGTAAGAAAAAAATCAGCAACATAGTCCTGAACCACTATGAACATAACAATGCTCAATCGACCTGTTTTAAGTTTTTCCCTTTGTTCTTACACAGGGGTCAGATCCGGGGAGTGATGTGATATACAGCTCTGTGGTAATATTGGACCAAACAAAAGGTACATTTAAAGAAGTTCGCTTACATTGTGAGGGGTATTAACAATGTTAGCCAATGTCGCAAAAAACTGACATGTTTTTTGTTTTTTTTTAACAGGTTGAAGGAAAAGTTTTGCAGGCAAAGGGGCTTTTAGAGAAATGCTGATGGAGTGTCCCTTTAAGGATTTTTTTTATAGTTATACACTTATTCAGTTTTCCTATTTTTCAAGTACATTTTCAAGAATCACACATTTTTGACCCCAAAAAATAATGTACCCAACATCAAATTGAAGCCTGGAGTCGTTAGCTCACCCACAGATTCACTATATACGGTATCATGGAAGCCAGGGAAAATCTATTACTATTCAGATATTTGTAGACTGTATCTTAACAGTTCATATTTCCGCTTAACAACTGAGCGAATTGCATTTGCTGTGACTGAAAATGTGGCTGACTTCCCTGTAAGTGGGAAACATTATGATGGTATTTTAGAGCTGTTGAAGGCTAATGCTGTGGAAGCTTTATTATTTCTGTTGCTGCTAAATAACACATTTCAGTGAATGCTCTGTTCTGGTTCTGGTATTTTATTCTAAAAGTATGTATCCACTGGGCCTCATCCCAAAGTCTAAAATACATTTTAATCTGCTGGAGTTCTGTCATTAGAGGTATTTATAAGCATCATCCAACATGCTACAAATGTCTTACAGATGGAAAAGGAAAGGTTTTTCAGGAAGTAGAAAATCAGCCCATCTGTACCATTCTAGTTTTATAGGCTATTACCCGTACACCTCACTCACCAACATAGCTGTTCATATGTGCTTTTTATTCATTCTCATATAGCTCAGTTATCTATAATATGTAACAATTTAAGGAAATTCTTACAGTGGACCTATAAGTAATACTCTGCAAGTGGTGTCATGATCACATTTTGAGAAAAGGAAGGGTCATATAGGCAAGAAGGGTGCAGAAGAGCAGCATTGTGAGGGGCTTTGTGAGCTTATGTTTGTTCAAATGTTAAAGTAATTTAATAAAGTATTATGAAATTGTTGGACAAAATATCCATACATTTATAATTGTGTTGATGTGTGTTGATTTTTTTTTAAAGGTGACAGCAAGATTTAAACCGGGGACTTTTAATGTAGAAAAGATGAAATTTACCAGTAGCTCTCTGTCATGTCAAAATCGACACAGTTTTACCTAAACTACAATGAAATCTTCACAACAAATAAAATATATAATATACTTCGAACTTCCTGTTCACGTTTACATGAATAATTATTTATTAAACGGTCCTCTACCTCCACCTTCAGGCTTTTCAGATTAACAGCAGGCAAAATGTCTTAACAGTCATGAAATGACAGCCAACAGCTCAGACTAATAAAGCTATACATCCTCCTTCACATAGCTGAATGTAAAGATGTTAAATTACTAAAATAATGCTTAGAGACAAGACACTGATAAATTGAATATTGCAGAATTAATGTTTGTGAAACCACAGGGTCGAGATTTATAGCTGTTGTAATGTGGTGTAATCTAATATTGTCTTATCCAAAACAATTGTGTTGTATCACAAATCCATTTTTATGCAGTCTGAAGAAAAGTTCAGAAAGACTTCAGGTCTTTTCAACCGTTAACATTTTTATTTATTTTATTTTATTCTTTTCTTTTCTTTTTTTTAACATGGACACGTGCAATGTATTACTACAAAGTACATGCCATGCATACAAATTTGTAGCAGTGGTGAAACCAACCCTTTATTTCTTAATTCTTAAAGATATGACTTATTTCTTTGACCGTAGAGAAAGTAACTAAACATATAAAATCATCTGCTGATCGGCTAGAGCAAAGTAGTTTCTGAAATCAGGTAGGCCCATTTCAGGTGTTACAGCTATACAGTTATAAATGTTATTTCTGGGAGCAGATCTGTGGTGACAAAGTGTCTGAAGTGTCCTTATTGTTATTTAGTCTCATTTTCCTTAGCCTGCGTAAATATGACCTGCAAACAGTGTTTGATTCTGAAGCGTCTGTAGAGGTAATTTAAGAGTGGATGCATAATACAAGACGGCAGCATAGTATTTTAAGATTGTTTGCAAAATTCTGGCAGAGTAGAAATGTGTTGCTGTCTGCCAGAAATTGAATTGTCCTGGGACTGGGAGTTGCTTCAAGTCACTAAATAAACACCAGTTTATCCTTACAACCTTTTTTTTTTTTTTTTTTTTTAGAGAAGTCAACAAAAACACGAAATCTTAGATATAACATAGATCAATAAAATGAGCATTAAAACACAGCCAAATAAGCATATGGCAACTTGCAGCGCAATGACGCAACCAGTGAGTGAGTAAAATGGTATTTCTTTTTTTTCTTTTTTTTACTCAGGCACTTTAAGTGGCCGCCCTGGGTCCTGAGCCTGGATGTGATAGGTCTGCTGTTCAGTGCAGTGCAGTCTCCTTCAGCTCGCCCTCCAACCGGTGACGCCTGCCTCGGCCGAACTTCTCCAGTAAAGTGACTTTTAGTGTACTGCTAGCCTCATCCTCTACTGGTAAGAGAACCATTTATTCTGCCTGCACTCTTTATGAACTCTTTAACACGCAGAAATGAATGTTTGCCCTGACAGACCCCGGTACTCTGCAGGCTACACCACACTTAGCTCAGCTAGCTTCAGCCAGCATGCCGTGTCTGACACATGCACAAGTTGGAGCAGGGTAGTTTGACTTATAATAATGCAAGTCCCATGTTGCAGAAGAGTCGACAGGGTAATGAGATGCTGCTATCCGACAATGTAACTCGCATGTTACTTATTATCCCTTAACTATCGCGTCTTTATCCTCCCAGTGGCCTAGTTAGCTGTAATGAGGTTACTCGACTATATAACGCAAACAAACTGGATAATTATCGCATTCCCAGTAATTGGCATTTGAGTGTTCCTTGCCACGCCTTAGCTGCTCCCTTGCCAATTCCCGTGGATGAGTAGTTTTAACAAAAGGCTTTAACTAGGCACTCCAGTGCGGCAAAATGGCTCCTCTCCCGATCCGTAACCTTGTCCCAGACTCTGTGAACAGCTGGGACTACCTGCAACCCACTGAAGAGATGTGACCATGCAAAGGCGTGTGTTAGATTAAAGTTCTGATGTTTATTGTGATCGTCACGGTCATAAATTGCGACCTTAACTTGGTTACATGAAAGTTGTCACCCAAGGCTTTATAACTCAAGGTGTGGTTGCAGTGTTTGCTTACCCAGGTTGACACTCGGACCCATAGAAGTCTTCTTCAGGTGGAATAAAGTAGTCACATTTTGGGTTTTTATGCTTCTAATGTAAGGCCAAACTTCCCATTCAACAGGTGAAGAATACAAATGGTAGTATGTGACATTCTCAACTGAACCAGACTTGTTTCTTTTACTTATGGATTTATTTCTGTATTTCGAACGATTAAAAAAATGGATGAAAATGAATAATCAAATGAAAAAAAATAAAAAATCTGTATGAAATAAAAAGCAAATTTCAATATAATACACATTTGACTCGTTCGAAAAGGGATAGGAAGAAGCCTACGCTTGTCAAGTCCTACCCCCGTTCTTCACCATTAACAAATGCAAAATCCAATAAAATAAACTAAACGGACAATCCAAAAAATACTCCAATCGAGCTATTCACAAAAACAAACCAAAAAAAAAGAACAAAATGAACAGGTGCCATTAACAGCTGGCAGATTTACATTCTCCTTCCTCATTTCTGTACTTTTGAAAAGTACAGATTTGATTTACCTTCCATAGGAGCACTTATTTTTGTAAGAAAAAGTTTATAATGCTTGTGCGTGAACAACACTAACATTTGTCATTTGTGTACCCGTACAAATGATTTTACATAATTGGATATGGTACATTTACTGAAAGACCCAACATCAACTTTTAATTTAGTATTTTGTATCTCGCACTGCTTTATGTGCATTTTTAGGTTGATGTCTTTTTGCTTTTTTTTCCTGTTCATTAGTAGTTTAATTAAACCAGTACTGATTGACGTGTGATTCAGGACTATACTGTTTTATTAATAAGATGTATTTTGATTCTGTCTACAGATATCATGGCTGTGCCTCCCTGCTATGCTGACCTGGGCAAATCTGCCAAGGACATCTTCAACAAAGGCTATGGTAATGTTTTGATGGAGAAGTATTGTGTTGTTTATATAGAATAGAATTACTTTATTGATCCCAAACTGGGAAATTGTGGCGTTACAGCAGCAGGTTATCCACAATATTAGCAAATATACACAATATAATATTAAACACAAAGTAAATGAGCACTAAAAATATAAAAACTAAGAATGAGAATATATACATCCAGGATTTAACTTTATAGCATTACTTCTAGTATGTTCTGTAAAGCCTGATGTTGTCGAACTGATGGAACAAAACAATTGTTTTCTTCAGGATTTGGCTTGGTGAAGCTCGACGTCAAGACAAAGTCAGCCAGTGGAGTGGTAAGGTCATTTCTTTATGCATTAATCGTAGAGAAATTGTTTACTCACCTGTACTGTGACAACACTGCAAAGTTTGATTGCATAGGAAGATGTACATTTTGTAAAAAAGAGTCAAGTTAACAGCTGTTAATGTTTTATTAAACTTTCTGACATGAAGGTGGACTTTTTCTAACCAGAACGATGAAGATCTTCACTTGACTTTAGAAACAACAAGCCCTGTTGATTACACAGTCTTGTGAACAATTATTTACAGTAAAGTGTGTTGCAGTTTTGGGTCTTGCTAGCTTTTTCTCTGGCCACTAGTCCAGAAGCTCGAAGATTTTAAACAGTTATACCCAACCAAAGCTTTGTAAACATCAAAAATGGATGTTCAATGATTTAATTTTCAATTAACCAATTGCATCATTTTTTGTGTCTGTTTGTAACCATAATAGCTGGACTTCGAGATGAAATGGTTCACTTTGATTCTTGGTCATTTCATCCAGACTGCCTTGTCTTTAAGTTTTTCTTGTCATTCTTCATCTCTTTAAATTTGTCTCTCACAGGAGTTCAAGACTGCCGGTTCCTCCAACACCGACACCAGCAAAGTTGTGGGCAGCCTGGAAACTAAATACAAAAGGTCAGAATATGGCCTGACCTTCACTGAGAAGTGGAACACTGACAACACCTTGGGAACAGAAATCACCGTTGAGGATCAGGTAAGCAAAATATTCAAATGTTTTGGTTGTGTCTGAAAAGTAACTTTGTACCCAGGGACCTCGACACGACAACATTTTGTTATAATTTTAAATGCATTTTTGTTCTGTCCCTCACAGATTGCTAAGGGCCTGAAGTTGACATTTGACACAACCTTCTCACCAAACACTGGGTAAGATAATGGCTGGAAAATAATGTAGTTCTGATTATAGGGAAGTTAAGTTTTATGGGAATGTTACTTACACTCATTAAAGTTCACTCTAACCAACATAGCTTGCTCTGCCTGTCGCCTCATCATGAGTCACTACTGCAACCTGATATGTGTTTTACAGGCTTGTGACAAGTGTAGTTACCAGCCATGTGACCCCTGGTCTCAATATGGAACTAGTTCCCTGTACCATATTACTGTGATTGGCTGTGAGGGTTTTTTCTTATTTCATGCTTTTCAGTTTGTTTTCTAAAGATAAAAACAAGCTATTTTTTTATTGGGTGTAGATGTTCAGCCAATGCTTTTGCTTTCTATGAGGTGTAAATTACCAGAGGGAAATGGCAGGTGGCCCAAAGAAAGCTATCCTCTTTCATATTTAATGTCAAGGGGATTGTGAGAGTGGAGTTGTATAAATACTAGGGATGCAACACCAAATTGAAAAAAAAATCCTGAAAATGGATAATTAAGTGTTGGCAACAAAACATTTGTTTGATTTGTTGTGTTGTGCGATTATTACATCACTTACCGCTCTGCAGAGCCATTTACGTCACACTCAAGACAGTTGAGTGTTACTTGGTCAGCTTGAGCTGCGTTCATGTGCCGTTTGAATAAACTTGACTTTCATTTATCGCAATGATGGTAATAATTTAAACACAGAAAATATTTGCAGAAATATCCATCAACAGCTGTTTTCCATGACGAAGCGTTGGCGAGCTATAAATAGATCATGGTTACATGAACTATGACAAAAGCATACATTTTGTTTTCGGTTACAAGACGGGATAAGCATGTTACTGCTGGGCTGACATTCAAAATCCTTGATCTATTCCCGACTGTGCATCTTAGTCAGTGAAAATATAAACGGTGTAGAGGGGAGATGTGCGGCTACATTGATACATCACGTATAAGCCCACAGTGTCAGACTTGTGTCTGTGCATTAGTGTCAAAGGGTCCTGATTCAAAGCTGGTGAAACATGTGCAACTGGCAGATCAGTTTCTCAGTCAGTGGCCTCTCAAACCGTTGTTTTCTTATCATATTTCCTACTTAAACTGACTGCTGGCGTTGTGCCTTGTTTCAGTTTTAACTCTGGGGGCTCATAAATCGATAGCCGTGGCTCAACAACCTCAGGCCATTATGACTTCAGTGTGTTGAGGTTTCACATTGTTGTTCACAAAGTGTTTTTCTAATGTATATATTAAACGTCAGGTTAACCAAAGCGGTGTTTGTTTATCAACAGCAAGAAGAGCGGCAAAGTTAAGACCGCCTACAAGCGTGAGTTCGTCAACCTGGGCTGTGATGTCGACTTTGACTTCGCCGGCCCCACCATCCACGGCGCTGCTGTCGTCGGCTACGAGGGCTGGCTCGCCGGTTACCAGATGACCTTTGACACTGCCAAATCTAAGATGTCCCAGAACAACTTTGCCATTGGCTACAAGACAGGAGACTTCCAGCTGCACACCAATGTGTAAGTAGAATGGCTACATGTGTCTTTGTAACTGCACATTTATGTTTTTACTATGTGAAAGTACAAAACCTTTAGCCCACTTGTTTGAGGATTTGTATTCTTCCTGCTGTATAAATACTTTAAATCCATTGTGCGTCAGTAGTTTCAAGACCTGAAAAACACCCTAAAATGACTTATTATTATTCATACAACCTGCAGCTTGCACAAAAATGTATCAGATGAGCATCTTTATGCTGACCAGCAGGTAACGGACTATTTAATTAGTTGCTGTTAACACTTTAAAAGTGACACGAGTTAAAAAAGGCTCAGATCGTACCTTCACTGTACCCTCCTACTGGATGAACCATGGTTACCCTATGAATGGATTGATCTTTAAAAAAAAACAAATGGTTTTATCAGGGTTGTGATTCTTCTGTATTTTCCAACATGCTAAGGAGTGATCCATGTGAATCATACACTTAAAACACAATTGAAAGAAGGTGGTAATAGGTTATTTAGTGCAGTAAGGAGAATTTAAGGACATCTGCAGGGTTAAGTCGTGTCATGATTCTTTACATTTCCAAATATCCTTTTTTTTTTTTGTCCAATGTCGATCACATTCCTCTTAAATGCTTTTAATGAGCTATATTAAGACAATGGGCATATCAGTTTAGCAAAGCTTACCTTTTTTTTTTTAAATGTCCGTCAAAGCTGCAAACATAACAAGAAAGTATCACCTGATATAGCATACGCTTTCTCCACTAATTTACAGCTATTAGGGGGGAAAACTGGTTCCATAAAGTTAAACAAATCGACAGTAAGATAATTGGATGTTTCTACTCATGATAAGACCTTCGGAGACAATAATCAATCTGTTGTCAGAAAATACCTAAAGTTAGTCCCATAGCATGATATCGCCTATGCTTGTATTCTTTAAAGCAATGATGGAGCTGAGTTTGGAGGATCCATCTACCAGAAGGTGAGCGACAAGCTGGAGACAGCAGTCAACCTGGCCTGGACCGCTGGCAGCAACAGCACACGCTTCGGCATTGCAGCCAAATACCAGCTGGACAAGGACGCCGCCGTCAGTGTAAGTAGAGCAGCAGAGACTTTTCAATGAAGTTCACATAGTTTCTACAGTTACTAAGCCTTCAGTCTTAACACAAAACATTAGTAATTTTACATGACAACATGACAGAGAACATGTAATTATAGTAACCCCTAACAGTAGAGATGCTCGCAAGAACTAGTGTCTCCATACGGTCGACGACCTGTGACGGTATGAAACGATGGGTCCTCCGTAGTTTTATTTCAGCCACAGTGGAGCAGAGCTGAGGGAAGTGGGAACTACAGTCACCATCATCCTTTGCGCTCTGCTCACTGCCTCAGTTCAGCGAAAATGGCGCACAATGGCATTAGTGAGGAGGGAGAACAGACAATTTTTTTTAAATTGTGGCTGCTCCAGCGGCTCTGAGATCGACACTGGTGTATAAAATACAAATATGAACCCTAAAAACAGAACTGAACTCGCTCTGCTCACTGCCTCAGTTCAGCGAAAATGGCGCACAATGCATTAGTGAGGAGGAGAACAGACAATTTTTTTTAAATTGTGGCTGCTCCAGCGGCTCTGAGATCGACACTGTGTATAAAGTCAGAAGTCTTACCTAAATTTGTTTTTTGCACGTATACTTCCTAATGTTGCTTCCTCTCGTCTGTGCAGGTGTGAAACTCACCCTGTCTGGCCTGGTCGATGGCAAGAACATCAACGCAGGAGGCCACAAGCTGGGTCTGGGCTTGGAACTGGAAGCTTAAGCTTTCCTCACACTGCAAGGGACTAGGGAATATCAGAAGAATCTGGCCTTAAAAGTATGTCCAACTCAAACCAGCAGGGGGATATCTTGGAGAGTATCGTTCAAAGGCTACAACAACAAACTCGTTGGAGTACTACTTCATCTTGGTACTTCAGTCATCAGTATATTTTACCTTTTGTTGCTTTTTACTTTGTAGTAACATCTGTTCAAGAGACAGCTGGTGGCATATAATTTATAAATCATGTCATTGTTCCTGTCCAGCACTGCCATAATAATAATATCCAATACAATCCCTTTGCCTGTCCTCAACTCTGTGTGGCTTTATTGGAAACAAAATCCCAGACACTCCGGTCTTAACGAGAACAGTTTTGTGTGGTGAGTGTCGTCATCCCTTCTGATTGTACAATCATGACCATCTGATATTCCTTTGTCATCTACAGTTTTAATTTGCAAACCTTGTTAAGTACACTAGACTTTCTCTGCAATTGTTTTAAATAGTGCTGCACCCTTCCTTTCATGCACACAAGGACAAACTAAGGCTCTGTAAACTTCTGTTTTGTGCCGGCCATTGGGGTTCGTGAGATGCTTTGAAGCTTCCTTAAACTGGGCAGTTTTTGGGTCGCTTAAAGATGGGTTTGAGAGAAAAACCTGTATGCTTGGCCGACCAAGCAGAATTAGTCATGTCATTTTTTTTCTGTAATCACAGAAAATGGGAGCTACATTATAAATGTTCACAGTAATGCCAAACTGTCATGGTGTGGAAGAGGTGTAACTTTAAGTGTGCACGTGTGGAAAGTCCCTGCACTGGGCTGAGACAGAGCCCAGAGGAAGTCATGAGGGTCCTTATGTGTATGTATAAATTTTCAATAAAGTCTTTGAACTTCACAAACTCCTTTTTTTTTTTTTAAGTATGTGACAATGACGTACATGCTATTAACAAGTCATTAAAGAGTGAGATGTCAATAGTTAAGTGCTCAAAGGGGATGTAAGAAAAGGCTTTAATTTAAGTAAATTTAGTAGAACCATAACCTTTTTCTTTCTTTACACGATTGCAGCATTTAAGGAACCTGCCATTTTCCAGATCTTTACAAGAAAATGATTGCAGTACATTTTTCTTGCCCCACTGAAGTTATTTACGGAACTTCCATCAAAGCCAAAGTCTTGGTTGTGTGCCCAGGACATGAATGAGTAATATTTATGGGACGGCGGATGCATAAGACATCTGCATCCTGTATCATCTCCAAGGACAGGAGTGTTTGTTTATACTTCCAGTTAAGAAGAATTGGAAAAAAATCCCTGCACTCTAAACTTCCCTTTTGAATGTCTCAGGTGTGAAGGCTTAAACCCCTTAAAAGCAAAGATTAAAAGAAAACGAAAGCCATAAAGTTTATGTTAAGTGGAGCTCCACTGGGACGCTGTCTTGTAAAAGCAGCAGAAATGGATCACAAAAATAGTTCAGGGAGACGACACTGGACAAAAAAAACAAGCTCACAATAAATAGAAATGAGCCACTTGAGTAAAACCTTCTTGGGGAGTAAGGAGATCAAAAGGTCTTTAAAAGGGATTCTGATAACGGGATATAAAACAACTGGCTGACAAGTTTCAAGGTAAGGTGATTATCTACAATCCTCCTTTCATAATATGCATTAATCAGACCATACAATATAAGGGGCTATTGTTTTTCTACAGTATGAAACAGCAACTCTTAGCAGGTCTTAATATCTGATTCATCAAGGTTATTTCCCCACAAGTGAAAGTGGCATTGCAGCAAATGCAGTAAGTGGTGATCATTTTGTAATAGAGACAAATATGCACAGCACTTTTTTTTAGGTATTGCATTTATTTCTCATACGGTAGCATAGCAAACAATCAAATGACACTTTGACTCTTTACATTCATGTCTACATTCTGTAGAAGGGGAGTCACAGGTTCTTTGTACATCACAAGTCGTGTTGAAGTTCAAAGGCAAAACTGCTGCAAACATTTTTAGATTCATGCTCTCTTTTAACACAAGTCGTCCTTTAGAGAACTCTCTTCTTATTGCTCATGTGTTGAATTTGCTCTTTCCTAAGATAAGCCATTCACTTAGTGCAGCTTCACTGTCCCTCGTGCCATTTCGCATCCTCTATCTCAGCTCACCCCTCTCTATGTAGCCTTTGTTTACCCTCTTATGTGACTGTTTTACTACTCTCCATCTTCTCAGGTTTACCTTGAGGCTCGTCCCTTTTCTCTGAAACTTCAGTCTGCTTTGATGTCTCATTCTGGCTGCGTTCTGCTGCGCCCTGATCTAACTCTTTCATATCTTCATTTGATTTCTCCTTTGGTAAAACACTTTGAACTGCACTGTCTGGTTTCTTATCCTCCTCGTCAGGAAGACTGTTCACATCTGATTCTTTGACTTGACCTTTATTGCTCCTATCGCTGGCACCTTGAATGCTTTTTGCTACGCCATCGTCAACTTCTGCAGCTTTGGATTGAGTGCTTTCCTTAAACTCTGTTTGACTGTTTTTCTTTTCATCAATTTTGTTGGTAGTACTTGCAGATGCTGGAGACTGTTTTGAAGTATCCTGGGTTTCTTCATGCACAGTGCTCTTTGTGGTTTTCTCAGCTGTTTCTGAAGCTGAAGTGGGGGCCATTGTCCTTCACTTGAGCGACGTTGCTTAGCTCTTGAGTTGTGTCTGATTCTGTAGACACTTCGGCCGAGTTTTCATCCACAGGTTTCGTCACCTGCTCTCTCTCAGCGTCAACCTTTTTACCGTCATCAGATTTTTTCTCTCCTGCCACGACCTCCGACTTTAGATCCTCCGGTGGAGAAGGGAGATCTTTGTGAACTGCAGCGTCTTTTTCCTCTTTTGGGATTTCAACTACTTTTTGATGCTCCTTTTCTTCCTCATCCATCCTCTCACTTGATACATCATTGCCTACTGAAATATTTTCTATGCTACAGTCCACCTTATTATCTGTTACTGTTACTACTGTCTCCTCCATCTCTTCTTTAGTTTTCCTTTTCCCACTATCGTCCACCTCCACAGGACCCTCCTCATCACCTCCATTGACTAAATCTCCTTCTTGAGCCTGCTCACTATCAGGCACCTGCTCACCATCTTCCTCTCCACCGTCTTTATTACCACCCTCTTCCTCCTCACTGCTCCCTCTATCCCTTTTGACACGCTCCTGCTCATCCCTTCCCCCCTCTGTCTCCTCTGACCCCGTCTCCTCAAATTCAGACATTTCTATTTCCCTGGTGGTCTCCGTTATGATCTCCTCTACAAACTTGTAATGGGGCTCAGCTCGTCTGTACGTTCCTCCCGGTCTGCTGAGGCAGGGCAGGGTGTAAATGGGGGACTGGTGGTAGATGTAGGGCAGAGAGATGTGGGAGTCGGATATCGAGGACAGGCGAGCCTCCTCGCCGCAGAGTAGTTTCCTGCAAAGTAGGAGACAGAGATTTCACCTGCAATAGCCACTACTGTAATAAAACAGAATTTATTAAAGATGTTATAGTGCTTTGTCTGTTTCAAATCATTTATTTCCTTCACTTTGCAGCCAATGCAAGGACATTAATGTTAATATATGGGGGAAAAAATCCATTTCCCAAAGTGCAACTCCTTTTTGGCAAGAAATTATTTTATCTTGTAACTGGAGTCTTTGATATTTGGTGATGGATAGCTTTTGTTAAGAATCAAGCAGGATGGTCACAGACAACTTTCTTAAACAGCTGTTTACTGTTCTGGATGCATCAGCTCTACGTGTTACTTAACTAACCAATCAGAGGCAAGGATGATGTAGACTCAGACTTTTTTTTTTACTAACCCTGTTTTATTGTTATCCTGAAGGAGGCGGAAGAATATTGAACGTTATTCTCAGTCGTTTTTAAGAAGAGGGATATGAGGGGAGTCAGTATCGCTCAGTTGGTTGAGCAGGCATGTACATCGTTAACAGTCCCTATCGCACTGGTCGCGGGTTTGAAACCCTATCCAGACATTATTTGGTGAATGTCATCCATACTCTTGCCCCCCCCTAAAAAAAAACAAAAACACTTGCACACAAAAACTCACAAACAGTTCCTGTCTCTTTGCAATCTTTCTTGTCAAACAAAGGCCCCAAAGCAAGTACCAAGACTTTAATTCTCTGTGTTTCATGATTATTTGGTGTAATATGTGCCCATTTTTGGTTTCCATATGTGTAATTCATCCTGTACACTGAATCTCCTCTGTTGTGTCTTGGTTCTTAAAAAAAAGTAACGCATTTGATTCAGATAAAAACATTCTGCCAAATATTCAAACATAAAACTTGTAAACACAAAAGTGTAAAAGAGTTGGCTGTACAAACACTGAGATAATTCTTTAAACTTACTGTATTTAAACCTTACTCTCTTTTCTTTTCATTTCTACACTTAGATCAAATAAATAAATTGTATTATTTGTAGTGTTATTTATTGCAGTGGCGTTATTGCCCTTAATTCAAAGATAACATCACAACTAAAGTTTTTTTTTTGAATGTCTTAATCATACCTGGATTCAGCAAAACGTACCTGTACGAAAGAATCTCCACATCCAAAGCCATCTTCACATTTAACAGCTCTTGGTATTCCCGCAGATAACCAGACATGTCAAACTTGCAGTTTATGAGCTCATTTTCAAGTTCCTTGATTGTGTTCTGGAGCCAGAGAGAAGAGGAAACATGTGTTATGATTACCACCTGAACACTGAACGTGACTTCATTAGGACAAAGTCTCACCTGGTAATGAATCATCTCTTCCTTGTGGCGATCCTCCACGTCATGCAGCTGCTTCTCCAGCGCCTCCCTGGTTCCTTTAGCGCAGTCCAGCTCGATGTGCTTGGCCTGCAGGCGCTTCCTATACTCCTGGATCTCCTTCTGGGTCACCTTTAACGCCTCCCTCTTGCTCTCGGCTTCCTCTGTTAGTTTAGCAAACTGAGATCTGAAAGCTTCTCCTACCTGCTGGAGGTCGGACACGGAATGACCTTCCAGCTGTGCCCTGATGTCCCTAAGTGCTGCAGTGATGCCAGGGTCGCCAAATCCATGCGCTTTGACGCTCACCTGCGCGTTCTGGATTTGATCATTCATCGCTGACACCTCGGTCTCGTGGTTGCTCTTCAGGAAGTGGATTTCGTCCACGAGAGCCTGCGCCTTCTTGTCCAGGTGCAGCTTCGCCTGATACGCGTCATTGATGTCCTTTTTGAGGAGCACAATACTTCTCTCGGCCTCTGATCTGCCACGCTCCTCCTGTTCATGTTGCCTTTTCAACATAGACACTTCCTCGTCTAAATTCTGATGCTCAATTTCAATTTGATGCTTCTGATGGGTTATATCCTTAACCAGCTGTCTCAGGTTCCTGACCTCTGGTCCGTACTCCTCCTCCAGACAGGATGCAGGTTTTATTTTCCCCCTGATCTCCTCGATCTCCCTCTCCAGCTGATGATTCTGGTGCTCCAGCTGGTGCACCTTTTCAATGAATCCTGCGAGACGATCGTTCAAGCCATGCATCAAATCCTTCTCTTTAAACCTCAGACTCATGCTCGTGGAGGTGACACTGGTATCTAATGCCGGGCGTGCCGATGTGTATTGCAAATACTCATCTTTATGCATTCTGTTGGGAAAGCTGAATCTGTTATCCATGTTGTAGCTCGTACTGACGCGCTGGATCTCCGGTGCAGAGTCGCTTCATGCGGGCTTTTTATAAGCGCCGCCATCTGCTTGGTCTGCAGAACGGAGCTGTCCGCGGTGCTGAAAAGGTGTAGCATCAGCTGGTGCTTTCACGAGAGCTTACACTACATTCTGTCGCAGAGAGCAGTCACGTGGCTTCACTAACGGCGTGTGCCAGACCAAAAACCGCCAAACCTCTCCGACTTGGACCGAGTTTTATTCACAATAGCACTGTGTAGCGATCATATGTTTGTAAGAGCGTTTTAACACTGTTTTACAATCAACCTGCTTTACTGCACGTTGCAGGTGACGTCGTATAAAGCATTTTCTTTCAGACGAGTAAGGGAGATTTGCCCTCACCTTTTTTTTCTCACCCTCACCTACTTGTTTGTTTTCAGTGGTGCACTTTAAATTGAAGAGCATGGAGTCAGTTCTGTGCTTAGCCTTTAGGTGTTTCCTCTGTAGCATCTGTAGTGTTGACCGCAAAGCATGATGGGTAGTCTGTCTTGGTTGCTGCTGTCTCCGTCTCTACTTTTCCTTGCTGGTATTCCTCACTCCAGATGTTTAGCTGTGGATGCTCCTCAAAGATATTTGGCCTCTTTTCTAAGACAGTGATTCCGAACGGGTCTACCCTCAGGATCTATCCGGACCCAAATTTCTGATATTTGTCATCCAATCAGATTTATTTAATGAAAAAATTCACCATTTTGGCCTCAGACGGTACAAAACAATTGGCAGAACTAAAAAACAAGAAAACAAAGCTAACCTGTTAAAAAAAAAGCTCTTCACAGACTTTTTGACACACATTTTTTTCGAGGCACACATTCGTGACCCACAGCTCCATGACCCACTTTTGGGTCTCAACCCACCAGCTGAGAAACACTGCTCTAAGATGGCTCAACCTTGTAAAATATGGTAATAATACTTAATTTGTAAAGCACATTTCAAGACAGGTAACCAAGTGCTTCACAACTGAATATGAAAGCAAACACAATAAAAGCAGAGTAATAGAATAAAAATCATAATATTTGTAGTACTAGAAGTGATAAACTGTGATTTCCCTTTTTTTCCACTATAAAGGTTTCATGTTTTAAATGAATCCCCTCATCTAACCTGGTTATTTCAATACAATAATTATATCCAGTTGTCAAGGTAAGAATAAAGGTTTTTCTCATGACATTTTAAAAAATATAATCATGTTTTTAGTTCTTCCTGCTGACATTTCACTGAAACATGTTAGAAAACATCAAAATTCAAATCTTACATTAGGAGGTTCCATGTGTTCTTCAAATGTTTAGACTGAAATACTGAATCATCGCAGACCTGTGTGTATAGGATAAAAGCCATTTTTTTCATTTCTTTCATTTCTTTTATGTAAGAAAGGGCGTCCTGGTGGCTTCAGGTAACAAGTTAACAAGTTACTGTGTAATTTTTTACATTATTGCATTGTATTGTGTAACTTTACATTTACATTATTGTATTTTCTTACATTATTGTATTTTCTTACATTATTGTATTTTTTTACATTATTGTATTGTTTTTTTTATTTAAATGATGTAAATATGTTTGATCTGTTTCTTAACTTCTGTTTTTATTTTTTGTAAGTATATTCCCGTCCCCTGTTTTCTGGAGCTGCTGTAATGCACAAATTTCCCCCACGGGATCAATAAAGTTTAAGAGTTAGGATTCATTTTGAGTTCATATTTTCAATATAACTTAAAAGTGTTTGCTTCTAAATCAGATGAGCAGTGTTCAGTTCAGAACTTTATTGTCCCTGGAAGAGAAATTGAGATTTACAGCAGAGGGTAAGAACACAACAAATAAAAACACAGCCTGGTGGAATACAAACAAGAAAAATACAATGTAAAAATATTTTCTTATCATTTTCCCCAAACTCTTTAAGTAATCGAAAGTCTGTGGTGTATGTAAAAAAAAAGAAGAGAGAAATAGATTGTGCACAAGTTTTCCCTTTTATTACTGTCACTAACATAAAGTTAAAACAAAAAAATAAGCACTAAAAATAAGCACATATACCAACAGTTTCATTTAAAATCTATCACGGTGCTGTAGGTAGTCTAAATAATAGAAACATATCTCAACATCCAAGCACTTAAAGAGCTTACTGTATATAAAAATAAACACTAGATCACTAAAATGTAGATGACACATATCAAACAAACAGAGTCAGGTGTTTTCATCTCAATACAAAGAATGTAATTGTTGCCTCTTTAAAATATGTTACTATTATTTTGTTGTTTTGATGTTTTGGCTGTTGAGGCTATAAGTAGATGATCATATTAGCTTGTAAACAAAATGAAGTGTTTCATGTTCTGTCACAAAGAAAGGCAAAGCCCATTTTTAAAAGTGTATCTGATCCTGAGTTAAAGCGCTGTGATATGTTCTGATTGTCATCTTGACTGTTGAAACTATATATTGTTTTCTTCTATGTTGTCCAGGTAAAGACTGAAGACAAAGATGAAGGTGACATGTTTATTCTGCTGTTAGAAAGAAACATTCACTGGATGATTGCTGCAGCTCTACAGAGATAGTGATGATACTCTATCCAGCCTTTTTAGGACAGTGATTTAGCGTTTAATGGCAATGGTCAGCCCATCTCCCACAGTGAGCATGCTCAGATCAATCCTTTGGTCTTTGTGCAGCTTCTTATTAAGAGCGTCCAAGGCCTGCGAGGTGATGTCATCATGAGCAGGATTCACGACGTGGCCGCTCCACAGCACCTACAAAACCAGTAACAACAGAGCCGCTTCATTCAAATATACTTTACTCCTCTCAATAGGACATTATCTTTCCTCTGACGGATACTCCACCTGCTTTTGTAAGATGCACTTACATTATCAATCGCAATGACGCCCCGTTCTCTTATGAGCTCAAGGGACTTCTCATAGTATCTGTCATAGTTGATTTTGTCAGCATCGATGAACACAAAGTCATACGTCCCTGCTTCCCCAGCTGCTAAAAGATCGACTGATGAGAGAGAGGTTAGAATTAAAAATGCAATTTTCTTTAACAGAAATATTTACTTAGATCAGTATAATAACTTACTCAAAGTTTTTAAGGCCGGTTGTTGCTTTACATCTATCTTGTTTTCTGCTTCGGCCTAGAAAAAAACGATTTCATTTTGTGAGTCAAAATACTCAAACTATAAGTGTTTTTTATTTTCTTTAATAGCTTTTTAAAGAAAGAGCTCGAACAGAGATTGATTTAACTTCTTGACTTTGCAACTGTACATGACACAGTCCCCTGAGCGGACATCTTTTTTTACTCTCCAGCCGGCAGAATTTAGTGAAGACGTATACTGACAGAAGGTAGGTGTACAGTTTGCTGTCTGCTGCACTTTTTTACTCTCACCGAGGCAACAATCGATCTTACTTAGGGTGCAAAATGCCACATTCAGGTGTTACACAAGAGCTGTTTCTTTAGAATGCAACCAACAATTACAGTGTTAGGATCAGAGGTTTCATGAACAAATCTCTATTTTTTAAAGAATCTCCATTTATTATGTAGAGAATGTGACTCATGCAAGTTAGATAGAAATGTCCTCACCTCTTTAAAAAACGGTTTGGCAATGTTTATATAAGTTTCCATTATTTCACAAGCCACCACGTGTCCATCCTCTGGCATGGCCAAAGCCATGCTCAGTGTGTTGTACCCTGTGTACATCCCTGCAGAATAAACATAATGTTATCTTCAAAAAGTCAGAATGAAGGCTACTTCTGTGTCCTTTCAAGATGGTAAGAAAATTTTAAAAAAGCATCAAAAACAGCCCAACACACATGTCTAAAAATAAACAACTAAGCGATATGACTGAAATTTGATTACCACTTAGTTTAGAGTACTGAAAAATATTTTAGGAATGAATGTGGTCTGCGTTATCCAACATATCTGATAAGCAAATTCATGTTTTGCATTTTCAAAAGGTGCTGTGCAATTTTTCTATTTTCAGATGTATCAGTATAATACAATTCAAGGATTAAAAGCCCAGAAGCTCAGATTGATCAGTTAAATTCAGACAAAAAAATGAGTGAAAACTTAACAGTCACTCCCAAAGTTAATGATTTTTCAGAAATAATCATTTTCTTCATAGTACAATATTTTAGTAATCAGACGTTGATTATTCATGTACTATAAGTAAGTCATCAGCAGTCATTTTATTCCCCAATGAGCTATTTTGTGTCTTTAGAAAATTGTCACTATTATAGACATTTATGCTACCAAAGCCTCCTGTTTGTTCTCACATGAACTCACCGATTTCAATGGCTCTAGTCCCATTTATCAGTTTAATGAGATTTGCCATGAACTGGGCTTGTTCACTGGCAACCATCATGCTGTTCCACGGGTCCTGAAGGGTTCTCTGGAATAATAAAATATGTATAATTTTAATTATAAGGTCTGACTTTGAGGATAAGAAACTTTTCCTGACATTCCTTGACTGTGTCTTGACTCTGGCACTGTGCTGCCCTCTAGTGGTCATATGTCATACTGCTCAGATCCTGAAATTAAATACAGTGTTGGCCTTTATAGGTGAATTTGATATGTACAGACAGACATGATGACGTCATCAAAAAATGTGACTCAAAACACAAACCAATGTCCTCTGCAACTTTCTAAAGTATTAAAAGTTTCCAAAAGTTTAGCAGCAACGACTTCAAAGCCACAATCATCTTTAGTTTTTAGCCTGCAGCACCAGATGACCAAGCAGCCATCTTCTGACCTAAATAACCAGCTGATGGCTACAGCATGCTAATGAATGGCCACATGTTCCTACCCATGCTAAGCTATAGCTGATCAAAAGAATTTAGAGTCATTTTAAAAGGAAATACATTTTAAAATATAAATTTAAAATGGCTCTGGATCTTATTCCAAAACCTGGTCAGATATCCTGCAGCCAGTGGTGGAGGAAGTTCTTGAAACTTCACTTAAGTACAAGCAAAAATATAACACTTTAAGTAACTTTTTTAAATATCCGCCATTCATTCAAAATCTCGTCAATGGCGGGGAAAGAGTTAAGAAAAAACACAAAAGCATGAACACCTTGATTCAATGCAGTATCAGTAAATTGAGAAATGGACAACAGATGCTGGTGAAAGAGGAAACTTGATTTCAGAGGAAAATAAATTAAGATGATCATATATTTTAGTAACTCCAGTTTGTTAGATTCTTGCAGGTCGTAAAAAGTACTTTATTTGCTTCTTAAATGTAATAAAAGTAAACGGAAGAAGAACATTAAAACAATCAAAATAAGATCATCCAAATCATACTTCAGTGCAGGACTTGAGAAAAAAAGTGCATTTCCGTGTTGTAAAGTAGGGTTAGCTGGGATACCCTGTTTCTCTTACCAGTCTGAGTTTGGTGAGCACTGGGTGCTCCCTCAGAGAGTTGTTAACAACATACTGCAGCACAGGATCGTCCTTCCCTTTGCTGTGGCTCTTCCCAACAACTGCAGACTGTCCCACACCTGAAAGACAAGACACAGAAAAGCCAGCTTCCATTAACAGCAATCCAAGTGATGTAGGTCACCTGTCTGATTGTGCCCTAAACCACCGCAACATACCAGTCAGAACAACTGCAAGTGCAACGCAGAAGAGCATTTTAATATCTGTCTCCATTATGTTCTTTAGTCTGAGCTCAAAGAAGGTTGAACTGCAAAGAAAAAGAAAATCTCTGACTTTCCGCTGTCAGTGCCTTTTGTACTGTTTGATTAGTTTCACCATTGAGTGGGAGGCTCAACATATTGATTTTCTAAGTAAACTGCAAAGGTAGGAGGGGTTTTAAAGGGTAAGCTAATGACTGAAAATCTGCCGTCCAGTCAAGCACTTTAAACTGTTGTTGTTGTTGTTGTTGTTGTTGTTGTTGTTGTTCACATTGTGTTCCTAAATGCACACCCTTTTAGATAAAGATAGATAGATAGATAGATGAGTACTTTATTAATCCTTTGCATGAAATTACACCGTCACAACAGCAACTGCAATCACAGTCAAGACACCACACAAAAAAACTAAGAAATACCTTTTAGTCACATAAAAACAAGACATCAAAAATACTAAGATCAGTTTTTAAAAACTAGACTAAAATGTCTGAATTATAAATAAAATACATTATGGGAATGTAATTAACCTTTAGTGTGCAATCCAGTTTAGCACTTTACATGACTGCAAACACTGCAATGTGTGAGATTTTACTTTTTCAAAGGAAGCAGATTTCTTAATTAGAGGTAAAACACCTTTAATGGCACTCAGAGAATTTTTTTTTCTAGGTGATTAAGCACCATGCACAGTTCATTGTCATTAAAACAGATTGGAAATCTTTTAAAAAGAGCTCCACATCTCTGGGTGCTGTATTTACACTGGTCAGACAGTTTGGCTGCAGAGTGCAAAGTTCATGAAGAAACATTTCAGCTGTGTTTGGCGTCCAGACAGAATTACAGTAGTCCTCTGAAGTGTTTCATGGCTACAGTGGATTAACAGTGTTTTATGTCCAACATTTCCATTTGTAATCTTGTTTACTCTGTAAGGTCATGGGACTGTGACATTCCTTAGCAAAGCATAGACAAAAAAAAAGAGTGATAAGAAGTCATGTGAGTCCTCTTCATTGATTCTGAGTGTACAAAAATCTCATTGAGACAGATTCCCCGAGAAGATAAGCGTCCACACATTTTCTTTTACTATGTTTTCCAATGATATCGAGTACATTTTGGTGGATTTCTCAAGATCCCGACTTATATATCTTGTTATCTTGGGATAACAAAAGCTAGTTTTCCCCTGGTTACAAATAATTTCAGATGTTTATTGGAAACATTTTTAACTCAAGATATAACCAGATTCATAAGTTGAGATCCTGAAAAAACAACCGTTACTCGTTATCCCAGAAAAGATTGAATAAAATAAAATGTATCGATGAATGTCCTCTTCGGGCTACCGTAGAAATCTGCAAAAAACATTTATTCTGGTCAGATGTTAAATCCAGGGTTGGTTTTCAGGCAGTAAATGCAATGTAGAGCCTGGATTTCCCACTTCCTTTAACCCATCTAACAAAAAACAGGGTAATTGTCAAGATTTTCAAATTTAGGAGAGGTAGGCCTTTTCTTTTAGCTAGCAGTGGCAGCCGATGTCATTTGGACCAGCAGCAGTGCTAACAGTGGGCTAACAGTTTAAACAGTCCCATTAAACCCTGAGGACTCCCACAAGCCGAGGTAAGGTCAAGTAGTTTTACAGAGAGAATATGTTATGACAAGTAGCACATTACATTTAACTGACTTAAAATAGCCTTTATATATTTTGTAACTGATGTAGCTAGCTGACTTTGAGTGTTCCTGCTTTTGCTGGGCTACAAAAGTTGCATTCAAACTTTTTTTTTTTAAGGCAACAGCTATTCTCTCAGGAGCACAACAAAAAAAAGTTTGATAAAGAAATTCGACAGCAATAAAGAAACAGCAACAAAGAAAAAGGTATACACCTGCAGGTTTGTCTTATTCTGTCAAAGTTTTAGCAACAATGACAAAGAGAGCGGGAATTTAAAGGCCCAGATACCCTGAATAACTTGAGATGTAGCCTAATGCTACCATTACAACAGCAGAATGTTTAATTATGAATATACAATAAAGACTGACTTAAACATATTAAAACCTTCCTTTTTTTATTCAAAATGTGGTTTTCATGAAGCACGTGCTGGCGCTTCTTTTCAAGCATGATTGTATTCTTCACATTTAACATTTTCTTTGAGCTTATTTGTAAAGTAGTCAGAGTTTAATAAGCTACATTTTGCAGAGCAAGGCGTGCAGAGTGTTTTCATGAGCCACACTTTAGATCTTCTCATCTTGCAACTTCAGACCAGCAACGGAGGGCGGGGGGGGGGCTAGCCAGGAATGTTCAAAAAGGAATTTTGGGGATGTGAGTGGGATGTGAGGTCTCTCCAAGGACACACAGCTTCCTCTGTCTATTCCCTAATTAAGAATGCACGGATACAAACAAAAACACTCCGCCGACAAGAACACATCATCGAAATGAGCCGTGACATGAACTGTCTCTAAAAAGAATGTTTGAGTTGTGACGATGAACGCGAGGGGACGTCTCAGAGTGTGTGCACACAGTTCTGCTGAGGTCCTCTCGCTGAAAATGAGATGCCGTGTTTCTCCACCATCCCTCCCTCCCTCCCTCTCTCTCTTTCTTTCTTTCTTTCTTTCTCTCCAGCTGCTTCAGGCCTCTGCTTATGTGACGCTAATTGTTTCTGCTACTTGTGCCAAGTACCTACTCTTCCCCAGCACATTCTACAGACAGGCCCTGGTCCCTCAGCTGCTTTTTGTGTCTGTTTAAGGAATGAAAAAATGTGTGCTGCCATCTGCAGCGAGCACACCACTGTTCCTCCTCCCGGCCGCGACTGTCAGAGTGCCACACTGATACACATTCACACACTCTCAGAGGTAGGGGGGAAAAAAGTGTGTGGTAGAGAAACGAGAAAACAAAACTGACACGTACAACTGCTAATATGAAACAAAATAATTCAAGAGGTTCCTGTTTTGATGCATACACTGTGAAAATGGAAAAAAAAAGGCTTTTGAATTTTGCAAAGCATACAGAGAGGAAAAGTAGATAAAGATTGTCTTCAAAACCGCTTCTAAAACTTACACGCAGGTCTCTGTATTCAATTTTTCAAACATTAACTGGATAGACAAACCTCCATAATCTTTATTGTCTATGTGTGGTCACACATACAAGGAGTCTTACTCTGGTAAACCGTGCTCTCAATGAAAAAACATTAGATATAGCAGAGAAAAAATTAGCTGATGTGCAACATACAAGACTACATCAAACAATAGTGCAGTGGTGAGGAGCAAAAATAATGTGTACATTTTGCAGCCAAAAAGAAAAAATGCACAAAAGAAGTCATAAAAGACTGAATTCAAGATCATAGATAAGTATGAAGCCCTCAAGCAAACATGCATGCACGAGGTCATTTCACTCATTTTTTTTTTTAATCTGGAGACATGAACTCTTTATTACTGGAAAAAAAAACAGTGTTGCTATCCAGTGATAACGAGATGAATAAGCCGAGATCTCAAGAAAACAACTGATAAGACTCTTTATAATAGGAAAATTTAGTCAAATAAAATGTATGGATGTTTGTCCGCTTTGGGCTTCCATAGAAAACTCATAATGGGGGTCTATTTAATTGATTCAGTAAGTATTAATTCAAATTGGAAAAACTTCTCAATTCAAAATAGACAAAATGATCTTAAAAAGGCTTTTTGATAGTATAAACCGCCTACAGTGAAGAAATGTAAGTAGACGACTGTATAAGACCATTTATAAATTCAAAACTGTTAGTAATTGATTTTTAAGCATCAACAAAAAATAATGAAACCGCTAAAATAAATAGCCTTTTAGCATTTGTGATTTGCATTCTGCATTTTTTCCTTTTTATTCTGAAGTACTGAGCCTTAAAATGACCAGCAAGGGGCAGTGTTGTTTAGCTAATCCACAGTCTTCTCTCAGAACAACACAAAGAGAGCAAGGCCTTCTCTCCTTCAGCCTGGGAAGTAATATCACTCTTCCTCTTGTTGAATTGACCTTTGTCCCCATCACCGAGTAAACAGGACTGCACATATTGACATGCTTGTAATGCCACACGGCTGTTACATCATCTGTGGGGTTGGTTTTTTTTTTGGTTTTTTTTAATCACAGTGAGAGACTGCTCGCGATGCTCTCTAATAACAGCAGTCAGTTTGGCAGCGTCTCAGCACGCATGAATATTAAGTGATGCTAATCACAGTGGAGAGACCCACGTCAAAACGACTGACAGACGTTTCTCGGCATTCAATTGACACCCTCAGATTCGTCCTCGGTTTGACAGCAGCGTCTCCCGACATGACAAGTCTGTTTAAAGCTTCCGGAAGAGGCTCGCACGCACCAGCACGCAAGATAAGAGATGCATTGACACTGATTTTTACTCAAACTGGGCCACTGTGCGAGACCCGAAACAAGAATTTCTCGTCTCTCACACACGTAGAGTTTCAGTTTATTGAGGCCACGTGTAGAGCTGCAGAATTTAGATGAGGATAGAGTAAAATATTCGCCTAAAACTGCTTTTCAATCATGTAAATCTGGATTTATCATGGCTGTATTAAACTACAGTGCCGTTTTGGTGGATGAGCCATTCAATGATTTATCATCCTCTCTTTGTGTACTCAACCCATATTGAACAAACAAAGAAGGGTCTGCCTCTGAAGAAGAAAACATACATGAATGGCAGGTGTGGTTGTTTGACTTTCAAATCAGCCAGGCATCTATACGATTAACCTGGCGTGTAAATAAATACCGAATTCAATTTCCATGGAGTCACGCCATAAGATGACAGTCCTCAAAAAGATCAAACAGGGCTGCTGCGGTGCACGTGAGCCACAGCGAAGAAGCCTCGGGTGGATGAAAGGTGTTGACACCTTGAGCAAGCCACAGAAAGAGACAAATGTCACATCCTCAGAAACAATTACTGGGTGAACCAGTCTTTTTCTCAAGGTCGCCTTATTATTCTATAGAAAAGATGCCGAATACTTCAATTTTAACAGCCCAATTCCTAGTTTTAGTATTCCCATTTTAGGAAGGAAATGCAGGTGCTATGCTCCAACGTTACACAGAAAACAATGCATCAGATAGGACCATTGGAAGTT